TACGAAGGGAATGGCGATTATAGTAATCGAGGAAGCATCCTCTAGGGAGTCTGTTCTACAAAGTAGAGGTTGTTGGGAAGAAGCTGTCTGAGTGGAACTTCCTCCTTACCAATGGAATACGAAGGCAATGTGGATGATAGTAATCGAGGAAGCACACTCTTGGGAGTCTGTTCTACAAAGTAGTGCTTCTCCGTTGATACAGATTCTCCGACTTGCAGGATGTTAAATGTCTCCCAAGTTTTCCAAGTTTCCTTTGATTTTCCATGTTAAATAAATTCCTGTTCCATTCGAATGATGGCGCCACTGTCGTCTGCTAAAAGAAAGTTAACCAATATCTGGGCCAATATCTGCATTGGAAAATCTGCAACTTCTACGGGAAGGTAACTGAAAGAAACTGGTATGAACACCACCCAGATCCGGTTACGGAGATAGGACCTTCTACAATTCTATGTGACTAGACAATACACACTGACAGAACAATCAAAGCCAACCGCCCAGACATTGTTATTAAAGAACACAAACAAAAAAAATGCCTCCTTATTGATATGGCAGTTCCTGCTGACTGCAATGTATCTTTGAAGATCTTCCAAAAGCTATCAAAATACAAGAACCTTGAAATAAAAATCTAAAAAATGTGGCATATGGAACATCAACAATCCCTGTTGTAGTTGTAGCCCTAGGACTGGTTGGAAAAGATTCCAGTAGACTGATTGAAGGGATTCCTGGAAGTCGATGCATAAAAGTGATACAAAAAATTGTTCTGACAAGTACAGCCCACACTTTACGAAGGGCTTTATCTATGTAATTTTTATTTTTTTATTTTATTTTTTTTTTTTGTCAGTGGAAAGTGTCATGATGTCATTTCTAACCTTAGGTCCCTGGGCGGGACCCGGAAAGAAATGTGTAAACGCCAGAAATCAAAGAAAATAATAATAATAATAATAATAATAATAATAATAATAATAATAATAATAATAAACATTGATTAACGCAACTCTTTCAATATTTTTCAACAGTTAGGAGGGCGATTTAAGAAAAGATAAAGAAATTAAAAAAAAACAAAAAAAAAAAACACTGTCAATGTTGAACAATATTTCAGCAGAATGTCTGTCTTCTTAAAGTTATATTTAAACAATTTTTTCAAGTATAAAAATATATAAATCTACAACAAATTATTAAAAGTCTTTGTACAAACGTTGCTTGTCTACGATTTAATACTGATGGAATACAGTAATTGTGGCACAAGGCCGAAAAAAAGGGGGAGATGTGTCAAGGCTGGTCGACACTATCTTATACTTAGCTAATCAGATTCATGACCTATTCATTCGTTACAATTTACTCATTCACCATAAAAATCTATCCATCACCATTCGCTCCTACATATACCAAAATACCTCACACACACACAGGACCCATACTGAAAACGACCCCATAACTTAACATTTCAGTATGTACAATCGTATAAAAATTCCATCAACGTTATGAAATGAAGGGTGGAGGTGATAACCTCCCGAAAACAAACTGAAAAAAGAAAGACCCGTCCACCCTTCAAAAAATAATAACGTTGCTTGTATTATAATGAAAAAACAAAATGGCTGTACTGCTAATAAACGCGTCAAAACTAATGAAACGCCGCCAGCCTGAAGGCATACCACTGAAACGTGCTTAATATGATGGTGATCTTGTTCATCTTGAAATAATAATGATGATCATGATGATGATAAAGATGTTGTCAATAATAATGATGATAATAATGATGGTGATGATAAAGATGATGATAATGATTATGATGATGATAAAGATGATGATAATGATGGTGATGATGTTAATAATGATGATAATGATTATGATGATGGTAAAGATGATGATAATGATTATGATGATGGTAAAGAGGATGATAATGATGGTGATGATGTTAATAATGATGATAATAATAATGGTGATGATAAAGATGATGATAATGATTATGATGATGGTACAGATGATGATAATGATTATGATGATGGTAAAGATGATGACAATGATTATGATGATGGTGGTAAAGATGATGATAATGAGTGTGATGATGTTAATAATGATGATAATAATAATAATAATAATAATGTTGATGATGATAATGATGATAATAATAATAATGGTGATGGTGATGATAAGGATACGATGGCTGATTTTGTTTAACGGCATATAAACCTCTATGGCTTATTTAATTTTATGGCATCACCTAAATATCTTTTGAAAGTAACTGTATGTCTTCAATCACAAATAAAATATATTGTTGGTAATTCTACTAAAAATTATATTGTTCGTCATTTTAATATAAATAAGTCTTCTTGGTAATTTATTTTATACAAAAATGTTTTGCCAGTAATTTTACTATCAAAATGTATTTTTATACTTTCATAGTGTTTTGCTTTTGTTTAGGGATTTACTTTATGCCCAGAGTTGGGACCCTAACAGGTACTACAACCCAGGGTCAGGATGTACCTTGGAAGAATTGCAATTAATAGATGGTACCACGCACCCTCAAAACCTCCATTCTTATAAGATAAGGTTAAGGTATTAAGAAGAAGAGATACAGAAACCAAAAAAAAAAAAAGAATAAAAGGCAGATAAGAACAGAAAATAATAATAATAATAATACCACAAACAAAAAAAGTGCCTCCTTATTGATATGGCAGTCCCTGCTGAGTGCAATGCATCTTTGAAGATATTCAAAAAGTTGTCAAAGTA